CTCCTTCTTTGGGGTGTGTTTCATCTGGGATTACACTGAATGGCTGTTGTAACAGATTTCCACTCATGTTGGAGGAAATGTTTAACTAAAGGAGCGTGTCCCTTTTTCATTATCAATATGTTATGTGTATGTTGGATAAATCGAATTGAAATTGTGTTGCCGGTTTCACCCACATATTGCAAGCCACATTGTTTTCATGTAATGAAATATATGCAGTTTTTAGATTTGGGACTGCCACGGGTCATGGTTTGGAAGACCTCCTTCGTGTATTGATTACTTAACCAGTTGCGGTGTTGAAAATATTCACCCTGCCCTCTGAATTTAGGGTTGGTAAAAGGTTTTAATTTAGCTTTAACCAGGAGATCTTATACCTTTTTATTTCTCCTGTACGCTGCAATGATATGGTCCTGTAGTACTGGGGTACCTGTAGTATGAGTATGAAAGTTCCTTCTAATCACTGTGACAAGCTGAACAGTAGATGGGGAATACGTAGTTACAAAGGGGAGGTTAGAGGTCACCACTATAGGTTTGGTCTGTTGAAATTTCCTGTTGTAGGAGCGTGGAAATAAACAAGTGCTACAATTTCTCTTTTTGGCTGCACACCTCTGTCGCCGTTTATTTACACTCCAAAACACATGAAAAACTCACTCACTGCCTTCTCCCCTTTAACCCCTGCCGTCACCAGGGTTACACCCATTCTTTTAAAGGGAACCAGTGGATTCTGTCCGTTAGCCCCCTACACTGTGACATTTTCTAAGAAAGGTCCTAGAGTAACCTCTGCTGGCCAAAGCTAGGAATAGCACCTTGACAGCAGAATTAAAATCATCCCGATTGGTACGGATCCTCTGGAATCTCAACAGTTGTGACTTGACTAAGCCGGCATAAGTGTGCATCAACCTGTAATAATGGTAAGGGTTTCTTTGGACATGATGTTAGGGCTGAGATTTCCCATTCAGCCATAAAGATATTAGCATATGAAGGAGCCAATTTCTTCCCCATGGCTGTGCCTTTAATTTGTAGGAAGAATTCTCCTTTAAATTGAAAGTCATGTCAGTGACAACAATATCAAACTGGCATGTGTAGGCCTACATTGAGGTAAATTAAAGAACTAGGCAGGCCTCGAGTCCTCCCCATATTTGTGGAAAATAAATAAAATAACTTTGAAATAAATATAACATATAGCTGCAGAAGTGAATTAAACACAGAACAATGCAGGTCTATTTGGGTCCTCCCCATGTTTGTGGAAAAAATATGAAATAAAAAGTAGCCTACTTTGAAATAAATATAACATATAGCTGCAGCCTAATATCTTAAAAAGAGTAAACATAAAAAATAGGCCAGTTTGTATTTAAGTAAGACTAAAGTCCATTTCAGTGCACTGTCATCCTCTTCTTTTTTCCCCTCAGCCACTTACAGCCATCAACCGTTGCGCCTGAACAAAAAAACACAACTACATCAGTTAAGGATCTAAAATAAATATTTTTCTCCAAAATAATAGCCTATTAAATGATCGTGTTCTCACCTGTTTGATGTCATTTTTGTTTCTGAACATCGCTGCAGAGTTTCTCAATATCAGGGCTGTAAGATGTGACTTTGAGCTTCACACAGGACTGCAGGCGTGTTATCTGTTTCATTTTATGTAGTTGTATGCTTGATCCAAAGATGGACAGGACTCCAAATGCATACTTCTTCATGTTCATGTAGGTGTCAGGAATGGCATTCCATGTTTCGAACACAAGTTTGTCGGGTTTGAGAAGGTTTTCAATATCGCTCCATTTGTGCTCTCTAGCGAGGACGGCCTTCTGACGGACGACATCTTCAAGATCAGCTGTCAGGCTTTTAAACTTGGACACCCATAGATCTTTATCAGCTAGGTCGGCCAGTTCCATTTCCAGATCAGGTTGACTTACTCCCGGGAATGCGGACATGTTCAGCTGGGATGGGTCGATGTCCAGGGGTGTGACGGGGAAGGATAATGTGCTTTTTTCCTCCCTGAACTCGCTGAATTTTTTCCCAAATGCAATTTGCATTTCGAAAGTGAGAGAGCGTGCCTCTCTGGCAAACACTGTCATCTTGCGCTCAAACGGCAAAACAAAACATTTTGTTCAGCGTGTTTAAGTGACTTGTCATATCTACCATGAAGTGCAACTTTTCCAGCCAATCTGGATCTCCCAGCTCAGGATAGGTGAGGACTTTGCTTTCCAGGAAGGTTTTCACATGTTCCAGACAAGCAGCAAACCGTTTCAACACCTCTCCCCTGGACAGCCACCGGACGTTGTTATGCAGCGGGAGATCTGAATACGCGCTGTCCACTTCTTCCAACAACGAACAGAACTGTCGGTGGTTTAAGCCTTTTGCCATTATTTTGTCCACTACCTGAATAAGGTTCATCACCTCCATACATTCCGGGGGAAATGTTGGAGCGCACAGTGCTTCCTGGTGTAAGATGCAGTGAAACGACAGCAGCTTTCGATCCAGTGATTTCTGAAGTAAAGTCACAAATCCCTTCTGTGCTCCTCTCATACCGGGTGCCCCATCAGTAGCCACTGACACCATGCGGGTCGTGTTTATTTCTTTAGCTTTTAAACAATTCATAACAGCCTCACAAATGTCCTCCCCCCGTGTTTGCCCTTTTAGCGCTATTAATTCAATGATTTCTTCCTGCGGCCTATCAGAGTTCATATATCTGCATAACAGTGCTGTCTGCTCAATGTCGTTTACATCTCTTGACTCATCACAGGCGATTGTGAATGCTGCAGCTGATTTTCTGAACAATTTCACCTTTGTTTTTGAAGTCCGAGAACAGATGCTCAGATACTTTAATGAACGATTCTTTCATGTATTCTCCATCTGTGAACGTCTTTCCACGCCTTACTATCTCAGGAGCTGCCACACAACTAGCAGCAGTAGTTGAGTTTGGAGACTTGATCCACTTCGTGAAAGTATATTTGCTTTGCTCAGTTTGCTGCAGCAGTTGAGAAATCGCTCTTTTTCGCCCATCTCCAGCATGATATTTTTCAGCAAATGCTGTGTGTTTGTTCATCACATTTTTTGTTGTTTGCTAATTTCTCGCCACATATCAAGCATAAAGGTAAGCCAGCGTCGTTGGCAGTGAAAGCAAAGGAATACGTCCACGCAGAATTAAACTTTTTCCTCCGTGACTTTTCTTGGGATTTATCCATTGATAGTTTACAGAGTGTTAGGCTGGCCACGCAGCAGCTGGACTTTAGAAGCAGGAGGACTGACACAGAGATTATGTGCAAACCAACCAGGCGTTTATTTCACCAACAAAAACATGGCACAGCTCTTTACATGTTGGACCACAGGCAGCATGTGGTCCTGGCAGCCACAGACTAGATTTACTATGGCAGGCTTATATAGCCTGCCACTAACGAGGACCTCAACCCCACTACACGATAGGTAACTATGCCCCTTACCTGAGAAGGCAATTACCTAAACTATCACAATTACATTAAAATGGATCGCTAACATCCCAATGTCAATTATCTGTACGATCTCTGTTGTGGTTACACATCACAATAAAGATCATATACGGCCCGAACAGGGAATTCAATTTCGCTACCACCCCTCTACTAATTAACACATGGTACCTCCCGGAACTATAAAATGGTGCTCATGTACCCTGGGGACTCGTTTAGGCCGAACACCCTGGAGAGGAGACACAGCAGAGGTAAGTGATTTGAATATGCATGTTATTTGACAGCGCTATTAAACAACAGTTTATAGTCAATCCTTTTGTTAAAGACAACCAAACCTTCTAATCTGTTTCTATCTCCAGGCCCGACCTTCAACAACTATACCTGAGAACATATCAGAACCACAACAGTACAATAAAACATTCAACCCTTAGTGTGTGTGTCTGTTATTGTCTTGAAACAGTCCACAAATGCTTGTTATGGAGAGTCTTCATTACACCAAGGGTGGGGGTCTGTAAATCATGATTAGCTACCTGCAGGGAAAGGCGCCTGACAGCGACACAATAGGATGTGACACACAATTTAGTTGACAAAATCTTAAAATGTTTTTTATTTTCAGTGACACAGTATCACCTCAAACTCCAAGATAAGAGGTGTTCCCTTTGAAAGATTGGCCACTCTGCAAAAAATGAAATAAAAATAACTTATTTATTTCCATGTTTTTTGTCAAAGCCTGAGGGAGCCGCAACAGAGGGGCTGAAGATCCACATGCGGCTCCAGAGCCGTGGGTTGCCGACCCCTGAACTAGGGTGTGTGTGTGGTCGAGAGAGGATTGAGAAACAAGTCCAGGTGTGATATGTTTCACTGCTGCAGTCGGACACAATGGGTCTACATGGAGGGACTTTGTGTGGTTTGCTCCACCTATCGGGGTCCTTGTGGATCTTAGGCAGCATATAAAAGTCTGGCTCTGGGTTCCGAGCTCCCCAATAAATAACATTTTTGTTTTGCATTTAAGAATTTCTTCTCATAGCTTTTCTACCTACAATGACCATTTAATTACTTTGACAATCGCTTCATTTGACATACTATAATTTGACTTTTGTAGACATGCTATTGTATGACTTTTTCCAACATCTGTACCTCACTGCCAAGTCATGTTAATTTGTTCCCATGCATGGGGAAAGGTCACTTTTTTTAGACCGCATTAAGTCACTGTGACCTCCAAACCCACTCCAGTTTCCAGTGTGTGATCGATCCTTTTTATATTACACAGTCTTCAGTCCGAGGGAACACTTGGTTGTTTGTTCGGTTTTGTTTTTTTTGGGTGCTCTGTAAATTAAAAAGTGAGTAGACTGAGGGTTTGGGGTGTCAGTGACTATATAAGCAAGAAAGACATCTTCCGAGGACAGATACAAGCCCACTACCTGCTATTAATATTCACTCTACACCTCCCATCGCCAGCTAAGGTCTCATGTTATATGTCAAGGGCTGAGCTCAAAGGGTACAGTTTGGTCTTCGTGTTCTCGTTGAAGTCACTGACTGTTTTGTTTATTCAGTCTACTCATTAGATCGTCTACTGTCCCTGGCTTGCAATAGCTTCATTATTGCTTTTTGCTCAGCATTAGTTTTTGCTCCTGTTGAGGATTAATGCCATTTGCTGGCAGACGCGAGCTCTCGTCTGTCATCTGGTGGCATTCGGGTTCGAAGCAATTGCTAGCAGGCAGTAAACAAGGGCAATGCAGGAAGCAATGCCCAACAGGACACAAGAAGTCTCTGCTGCAGAGGTTTGGTCCTTCTTCAAGCGTGTAGCAAAATTTCCATTGTTTAAATTTTAGAAATGTGACTGACATTCTTGTGAGTAATTGCTGTTTTGTCTGTGCAAACTGGTGACTGTTAACAGGACATTTTTGTTAAATGAAATGATGAGTCATACATATGCTCATATGTTTCTCCAGGTGTGTTTAATGTGACCAACATGGCCGCTTCTGGTGAAAAGAGCGGGACCCCGCCTCAGTTCATCGGTGGCTCCAGTAACGCGAGCGCCACTAGAACCACTACCATTCGTCTCCGGGACATTTATGACCCCAAGCCTCACCCTCCCAAAGCCCCGGTCCGGATCCGCCCTCCGGGTCCAAGGACCCCCTCAGTAAAGGAGCTCAACCTAAAGCACGGCTCGCCCAGCGACCCTCCGACCAAGACGATCATGAGGACCCGAGCTCAGTCTCTTCCCTCGTCTGCGGAGAGAAAAAAAGAACTCAGGAGCTTGCAGGTACGCTTCGTGGACTCGCTGGGCCTCGAGTTAGAGGACGTCAAGGTCTTCAAAGTTCAGGAGCACCCCCTGATACCCCAACATGTTATGTTCAGGCTACTGATGAGCTCTGAGCTGGCTTTCGGCAAGTCATTGGAGCTGTCCCTGCCTTACTTCAAACCTTGTTTTCCTGAGAGTATCGGGGCTCAGCCGGACTTCCTGAAGCGTCTCTGCGCTCAGAGCGTGTGTCTGGAGCAGGTCCTGTGTTCAGAGCAGGGGATAACGGGCACCATCCAAGTACTCAACTCAGCTTACGAGAAAGAAGTCACGGTGCACTACTCTTTCACCAACTGGAGAACGCACACGGAAACCGCAGCGTCCTGGGTGTCCAGCGGGCCCCGCGGGGAGACGGACGTCTTCAGATTCCGTCTGCCCGTTCCTCCCTTCCTTCTGCAGCCAGGAGCCATTTTGGAATTTGCCATCTGCTACCGCGTGAAAGGATGCCATCATTGGGATAACAACAGCGGACATAATTACAAACTGTCGTGCCATAGCTACAAGGTGACTGTGCCGAGGGAGTGTGAGGACAGCATGCTGCACTTTACCTGAGTGTCCACGCGGGGGAGCTGCTGCTCCGGCACACAGACAAGCAAAGTGCTTTACAGTTGCTATGACCTGCAATGGCTCCCTGTGCTTACTCAATACATTAACTCAAGTACTGAACGTTATAATGTATTTTTACTCCACTGCATTTCAGAGGCAGATTTGATACCTCATAATGTAGTTTAAAGGGGTTAACGGGTACTACTGTCTGGGGTGACTAGATGTTTGTGCTAAATGTGCGTAAGAGAAGAGACAGTTACCCAGAGTCATGAAGGGATATTGTGAAATTTGAGATAGTCCGCTTCCCCACAGAGTTGTAGTTCACCTTTAAATGGGGACGCCATCAATTTAGTAACGGACATCCACAACGTTGGGGGACTCACATGAGGCCCATGAAAAAATAAAGGAGGGCCAAAATCCGCTGCGGAGGACGAGACATCCTCACTTTTAGTCCCTATTAGGGGTCCAGCTCCAAAAAGCACTGGATCCTACATTTCCCACAATGCCGCTCAAAAGCACACCACCACCAGCACCTCTGGTTTCTAATTCTAGCTCTCTGATTACGTTATTGAATCACAAGCCGGAGTCATATAATAAAATGCATTGTGGTCTGAGTCATGGACTCAGCAGGTCCTGTGCACCTGCTGGGCTTCTGTTTGGATTGAATCCCGGCCACTTTTGAGAATCTGCTCTCTTTGCACTTCAGCGAGTCTGGTGACCCAATTTAATGATTGACACGGTGAGTTACACGAACACCATTGTCGTATCGCAACACAGAATTGTAAATATTCCAAAATCCCCCAGTCTCTGCTAATGTGACTAATGGAGAGGGCTTAATGACCTGTTGGCAGCCTGAGCAGCCTGTTGGGTGTGACTGTGTCACTCTGCTGTGACTGACAGGGCTCGACTCCAATCTTCTGGAGCTTGTTTTGTTTTGCGGAAGGAGGACTACAGGGAGCCCTGTTAGCTCCCCTGTTGCACTGTGACCCCGCCCCCTTTAGATCCCCGACAGCACTGACCTTTCGCCAAAAGGTTTCCACTGATACCAGAGGCCGGATTCCACACAGGGAACTTTCTGGCAGGCGGCAACGTTTGCCGAACTGTACAGCTGCAGCGACTGAAGCAGACGGAATAATGTCATGATGAGCCACGCTTTAAACATGATCTACGATCATAAGCTATCTGAACACCCGAAACATTACTGAGCATGGCAAGCCTTTTAAAAATGATCCATTAACCAGAGAAAACTGATACTTATTATACTAAGTATATGAATAATAATAATATATATGGCAGGATTAATGACGCAAGTGACAAAACTGATAATGTGTAATTCAATTACCTGCAGTAAAATAAATACAAAATAACTTTAAAAAGAAGGAAAACAAAGGGATTGCTCATTGAAGGCAGTCTGTGAACAAAATAAATAAAATCAACTCTTTGACTGGTAGACAGGTCTTTAAATACAACTAAACTAAATTATTATAATAATACTAGTTATTATATCATTACTGATTTGTTTCCATCAGTATTAATAGTAACACAGGCCCTTACAGTATTTTCAACTTTGATCTGCTGAGAAACAAAACAAAAAAAAGTAGATTTAAATATTTTGAATGATTGTGACCATATTTTCCCATGATTTATTAAAAATGTAAGAGCACACTGGTGATTGAAGTGCTCCTCTGCAGCAGCACCGGCAGTCATGGGACACTAGATGGCCCCATTGCTTAAATGTAAAACCCTACACGTCCATTTAAAATGCAGTGAATGTCAACGTGTGTTCTGACTTTTTCCCAGTAGTGGAGGGAGCATTCCAGATCATATACTTTAGTAAAAGCAACCATGCAACGAAGTGAAATATATTCTTATTACGGGTAGAATACCTGCATTCAAAATCCAGATCAAAAGTAAACGTTTTCACATGTAAAGACATGTAAAAAAACGTAAAGTATTGACCTCTGGATGTAGTTGAGAAAAGGGAAGATTGTGAAAACCAAATACATTTATTTCAAACCTAATAAAAGCGCAGTGTGAATACCAGTCCCTTTGTTGTCTTAATTCACTACTAACAGCAGTGTGGGACTGAAAGTGACAGCACCATCTCTTATAATAAAACAACTACTGTACATTTGGTTGTGGATTTAGTGACGGCTGCTTTAGCCTCATTCTCCCATCCCTTATTGCTGAGAGAGTAACAGAGCGCTGTAACCTTTAGCAATAATTTGCAAAGTGCAGCGCAGCCACAACCACAAATTGTCTTAGTGCCGTGACGCTTTTTAGTGCTTCCTCCGCACTTGGAATGAAATCCCTGTTCCTCCCAAACCTTGCACCAGAAAAGAAACCCAACCAAACATCCCCTCAGTAGCTCGGGACCGCCCCGGGGGTTTGATTGCTCGTTTGTATCGATGTTCTTCACTAACGGTCTTAGCTGTCATGCCAGCCTGCCCGTTCGGGGGCCCACATCCACGCTGCCCCGCAGCGCTGTGCCTTTATTTGGGGGGGGCCGTCGTCTTGTGCTGGTTGCCGGTAGTTATATAAGAGGCCACCATATTAGGAGGCATCATGATGCTCAATAGTGACGTTTGCTCCGGGGGACTGGCCGGGATTGAAATGTTAAAAAAAACAAACTGATGCATCATTATTATGATTCTGTGTTACATCTTTACATCACCATTATGGCCTGTGTCATTTTGGAAGAGAAGAACTGCGTCACTTTGTAATATTTGTGCAGTTAGTCTCAAGCGCATGACTGATTTCATCACATGAATATTAATTTGTAGTAGCAACATATTGTAAAACATTATCATAGCAGCATATTTAACATAGTTATTATTTAACATCAACTACCGACTCCCCAACAGATCTGAGGAATAAACTACTGTAAGAAAACAACCATCCTAGCAAAATGTTAACTGAACCCCAATACAGTGGTACTTTTCTTTTTAATAAACAGAAAATGATAGGAAGTCATTATGAAAATAGATTGACAAAGTCATTAAAATTGGAACGATGGAATAAAGAATACGACAACATTCCTGTGGGGTCTGCAGGGACCCCGGTTGGCAGGATTAGAGTTAATATAAAGCTAACGTGTGGTTCAAAAGAACAGCTCTGGGTGCGCAGTGTTCGTGAGAAACAGCGACGTTGTGTATTGTTCTTATGCAACGCAGGATCATTTACAGACAAAATGGTTTTCCAGGAATATATTGAAATTATGTGATTTCTCATCCAAAGTCTGATTTTGAACCAGAAGGTCATCACGCTTACAGTTGGCTAAATAACAGCAGAACATATGTTCAGAGAGTGTGTGTCTGTGTGTGTGTGTGTGTGTGTGTGTGTGTGTGTTTACCGTTGGCCCCCACCTATCTGAGGGTACACCCTGAAGTCAGGATATCCCCCTCACGCCCATGAGAGCATCCCTCGTTCCTCCCACGCAGCTCCACAGGTAACCGGGGCTTCTCTGGGGGCCGCCGCAGCTCTCGGCCAGTAGATGCTCGTTTTCGTTACTCCAGACGGCGAGCGGTCCCGGAGTGCAGCGCAATTTAAACTGGATCCGCCATCTGTTCCTCCCCCAGTGCCGGGACGGAGGCTGTGACTCACCTAACGTGCATGTCGATGTCAGAAAAGAAGCTAAAAAAAAATAAATGCGAATCTGAACGTGCCAGGGTTGCTTCTATTTTTTTCCCCACATTTAATATCAGGTAAAAGGTTTCTTCCGTCTGAAAGAGGCTTTTCAATGGCCTCAAATGTTCCTACAGTTCCTATTATATTAAAGGATTTGCACTGGGTCAGAACTAATGACTTGTTTCTTTCATTCTTGTTCCTCTGCCAGTAATATGCAGCAGCGCAAACAGCTATCAGATCAACGTCTCGCTCCAAATTGGACGAAGTCAGGCAGGTGCACTTGTTTTCCTGATGCCTGTCCTTCACCAGAGGACGATACGCAGCGACCATGACAAGAAACAGGTCACCAGACTTCACTTGCAAACTAATTGCCGCTTGATCTGAGGTGAACTTCACTACAATGTTATTATCCGCTTACCAGAGCACTAAAACGCTTAGATAAATCTGAGCGGATTACAACCCATTTATGATGCTTAGTCAGCGGTTATCACCCTAATTCTGACCTTTGTGAGAACGATTTCAGAATGTCACACACTGCTGCTACGCCCTGATGCTGAAATGTGTTTGGAAAAACACCAAAAAAACCAAGACAAAGTTTGATACAAATGGAAAACCTGTATTGTGCAGACAATAAATAGTGCTTACAAAGGGAATTCTGTCTTTTACACAGACGAGGTTTCTGTTTACACCGTCGATATGAAACGCATCAACTGAATTGGTGAGACTTAGACACAGCTCGGGGGGGGAGGTGGGGTTGGGGATGTGACTACTGATACTGGAGTGGGACTGGTTGACTCGGTCACATGCACATACCCCTCCTTCCCCTCCCGTCCCGTGGCATCGAAAAAAGTCTTTCAAAAAGAGTCTGTTTACAAAATTAAAGTCTCCAAGTCGGCCTTGACTCCTCCCCCGCTCCTCTGACGAGGTGAAGTGAGGGGTTGAGGAGCCGTTCCTCCGAGCAGAAGTGGAGCTCGCTGCTTGCGTCCACGCCGTCTAACGCCAACTCCCCTTTCTAGAGACATAGCCTCCAAGGTTTCGCTGGACACGAGTACCAGAGCACCCACTAACTGTGGGCCGGGGTGCTGGAAGACTCCGTGCAAAGGGTCTTCACGGACAGAACCGGATATTGGCATCTCTTCACAGAAGAAACCTCGCTATGGCCGGTGGAACCTGCAAAATGGGTGAAAGGGACGGGAAAGTGATGAGCGCGGACTAAAATATTCACACACACACACTGGGGTTTCATCAATCAAAAGGCCTATTAATAGCCCCACGGTCAGTGCGTTTAAAAGCAGCCAATGGCCTCTCCTCAAAAACAGGGTCTCGCAACCCTGGCCAATTCGGGAATTTTTTTTTAGCTACAGAGAATCTTGACACAAGCAAAACGTAAGCTAAATATATACGGTCATTCATTATAGTGGAGAGGTGGTGCAAAAGGGTGTGACTCTCTCTCATCCCAAGGGGCCTGCTTTCAGCTAAATTTAAGCCCTACGCTGCAGGGTGTGCACTCATTGGTGTAAAACTGGCAGATAATGCGATTTTGGGTCTTTGCACAATGTCACGCTGACTGTCGGACAAAAAGAGCAACAAGCATGGGCTGCAGGCAACCAGTAGAGTTGCAGTTTACGTGCGTTTGTCCAAAATCACATCACTTTGTCATTTTATTCTATTAGACATCTCAAACTGACCTCGTCAGGTGCTTGCTCGAAGTGTGAACTTCCATCTCGTTGCTTTTGAACTCGTTCAGCTCCTTCCGTATCGCCGCCTGCGGGGAAACAAGAAGTGCAACGAAGCGTGAGCCCAGGCGTGTCCCCTCAACACAATCCACGGATGTTTTGAAAATGGAGAACCATCTGCTTTCTAGGTGCAGATTATGTAGGCTTCACTGTGTCAAAGAAAAGGTGGTGGGGAGATGATGATGTCGAGCACTGCAAATATCAAAGTAACCAGGAGGGTTATATTAGCCGTATGAACCGTCTGCATGGTTCAGCAAGATAAATGCACATAGACCGCAGCTTACTTCCTGTTTCATGGCGTGTGATGAAACACCAGAATGGACAATATTGCCTAAAATTGTTTATTATTATTATTATTATATCATCTTTCCTTCTAGGCAGGATGTAACAATAATTCCTCAGGATATACTCAAATTAAATGAATTCGACGTGAACCCAGATAAGTGGCTTAACCTGGATTAACCAATGGAGCATGTGTCAGTCATTGAAGTGCTACAGTGACACTTGCCCATAATGAGAAGATGAGCTTCATAGCTACTGTACTGTAGCTATTGACAGTGTTTGCTACAGGTTTGATGATGCTGATGGAAACTTGAAAACTTACAGTCCACAGTTGAATACAAAACCATTTTCGTAAATTCAATTTCAGAGTTTTTAATACTTTCTAATGCCTTTTGGAGGAAACCCTAAGACTTTTCAAGACCGGCAGAAACCCCGGAGAGGGGCAGAATACGGACACTTGGTAAAAACGTTGTTCTACTTCTAATATGTAAAAAGGTCAGCGGCGCTGTCCGGTTTATCTAGTTACCTTGTCAGAAGCTGACAGTCGGGTCCAGGGCTTGTCAGCCCGCCTGTCGTAGTCCTGAGCTTTGGCCACTTCCACATAGTCACTGAAGCGAATGAGGATCTTTCTGTCCCGCAGCTCATCCACCGTCGGCCGCTGGTTCAGCTGGAGAACGGAAAACAAAAGTCAGCTCTCGCCAGCGTATCGATGCATTCAATCGCCAAAGAGATTGTTGAAACAAAACTAAATATTAAAAAGCGCAGCAGGCCGGGGATTACGGTTGTGTTTTGACTGGTTGGCAGTCGGACGTGGAGGGGGGGGTGTTTGAAAATGTTTTAGCAAACTGGTCAGATCACTGCAGCCGCCTACCTTTCTGTTCAGCCGCTGTTTGATTTCCCTCCTCTCCTCCTGTTCTGTCTGGTCATTTCTTTCTGTTGACACAAAAATAACAGATCAAAATCATTCATTTACACTAAATATGTAGGCTTGTTTGGAGATGCTCAGTCACTGTAGCAATCGTTAAGTAAACACCAGGCCTCTGATTACTTCATGGGACTGGACAGGTGATAAAGTCTGCGATTAAAGGAGCTAATGTGTGGGATCCTCCTCACGATCAATACTCCTCAGTGAGCCGGTCTGCAAATGTGCCGAGCACTATGGATCAGTGCCGACAGTGAGTTAGAGAGCGACACAACGGGCGGATTAGAGCCCCCTGATAGGATTTATCTTCATCAGATACAGCAGAAAGATCACTAGACATCAAAGTGAGGCCAACACCCTTCACGGTCTGAGCGCATTTCAACAGGAACAAGTTATGTGCATTTTCACTGAAGGCATTTAGTTTGCGGTTAGGAGATTAAGCGGGGTTGGGTTTGGCTCGAACACATGTTCTCCTGCGGAGAGAGGCGGGGGGGGGGGGGGGGGGGTTAGTGATGAGAACGACAGCTGCTCAGAGACCACAGGTGGCCCGTCCACCACCAATGTGGGACTTCATTCTTCACAATGCTTCATAACCGTTCTGCACCACTAGTTTCATAATTTGCTGCGAGCACTACGATCTGACGCCTTCTCCCTGAAAAAAGCTATTCTTGTGAATTAAACAGTGTCGTCACTTCAGCCAAGGAGCTCAAGTTGTTTCAAGGATTCAAATACGAGTTCAAATCACCAAGAGGAAGATGCAAGAACATGTGACTTGGACTTCAACGAACCATCTAGCTACCTTGTCTCTCAGGGAATATCACATGTAGTCTGGGGGTTTTATGGTCACAAATATATTTGGTAAAATGATAATAGTCGACGTTTGAAAATTCTTCTTACAAAAATGCAAAAAAAACCCCATTTGTTTTGGGTTATAGTAATCCATAATGCTGTTTATTCTCTCAATTTATTTATAAAGTCTGTAATTAAAAATCTGCATATAACAAACAAAGCCAAAGGTCAATTTGTCTTGTTTTGTCGGAACAGTCCGATCCTCAAAGGTATTGACTTTCCAACGTTATCAAACAGAACAAAGCAGGGACACATTTGAGAAGCCGCAAACAGAATATTTTGACTTTAAAAAATGACCCAAACTATGAACAGATTATAGTTGATACTCTTCTGTCATCAACCAATTGAAATAGTAAAAAATACAATAAAGTAGACTCATCACTTAAGCTGTACTTTTTTTTTCACAAAACACAATAATCATCATTTTAAAAACAGTAAAAAAGAACAAGTAATAAAACATGGTGTGGACGTCTTATTTTGAAAACCCTCTAAGTCACATCACAATTAGTCGGTAGAGATATTAAAGATGGCTTTTATAAATGTTTTTAAAACATGGAAGTCAACATAAACTCAATTCAACTTAATGAACAAGTTTGTAAAATGAAAGTGTAAGGCCGTCCTGTAGAGAGATGTATCCACAGAAACGTGTGCTGGTTTCGTCATCAGAGATAAACATCATCATAATGGTTGTTGGCCACTATCGCCGCTTGAACTTACGCTTTAAGATGTTCCGACTCTCCAGCTCCTCCACCGCCGGCCTCTGGCTCAGCCTCCTGCGGAAAAACACCAGAATTACGTTCTGGACCATCTTTTGCCCCCTCGCGCCGCTGGAGGGGGGTTTGCTTGACAACAAAGTCTTTTTTTGGTCTCTTCACTACTTCCACGAATATTAGCACTTTGGATGCTTGAGCCGGTCCGCCGTGCGCCAAGATCCGCACATCCAAAACGCGAACACCGCGTCCCACCTCGAGTCCAAAACGCGGCTTGTTCTATTGTAACATTTAAGGCTCCACATCGGGGAAAGAAAAGGTCAGACTGCGCGCTTAGTGTCACGCGTCAGAGCCAGTTCGGTGAGGAGGAAAAAAAAGAAGAGAGACTTTCCCTCAAAGACCGGCTTTGGTTTAGGCGAGATGGGAAGTTTAGCGAGAGGAGCGTTGGTTGTAGTCCCGGCGGAGCGGCGGCGGTGTGGAGGATGCTGAGCGCTGTGAGTGGAGCGAGGACTGCAGCCAGCACAGCCTGCCTCCTGCCTCCTGTGTTTTTTTTGTTTTTTTTACCACATGCACAATACTCATGTGAAGGGGAGGGACTGAGAAGGAGATTCCCCACGCGCGCGCACGCACACACCAACCGCAGCAAAGGGAGTTGTGCAATATTGTGGTAAGAGAGCTTTATCAGAAAACAAACAGGGTATTTATATGATTGAAGTGAAGGAAACCCCATCTAAACTAACTTTTCCCGACGTTATCAATCTTTATAACGCACATACATTGTTGGATGTTATGTAGTAGGTTATGTTAAATGCAATATCTGTTATTGAAAAACAGATAAAGCATCAGATGATGATGAGCGGGATAACCTAAATATTTAACGGCTGCACTGTACTCTGCAATTGATCATTTTCATTATCCCTCCGTCGGTTATTATCTTCTTTTTAATTGTTCAGCCTAAATGTCAGAAATTGGTGGAAAAAAAAACACACCAATCACAATTTCCCAGAACACGAGTTGATATCTTCAAATATCCAAATATATACAAAATGTAATGATATTATGCAGAGCAAAGCAAAAAACATCTTCACATTTGAAAACCCTTCAACCAGCAAAAGTCATATCAGCACCAACGAGGACGATGACATGTGGTGATGCAGTCATGTGGTCACAGATGAAATGAAAACAAACAGAGACAAGGCTGCTGACACCAGCTACTTGTATTTACGCCACGCAGCCTCCCTGTTTAACAAGATAGGGTGGTTTGGGGGTCAGCGTTCCACGGCACTTGGATTTTTAAGATTCCTCGCATGACCTTCCAAAATAAATCTACACCCCACCCCCAACACACCCACTGACACTAGATTTGCCTCGCAGCTGTCGAGACAGCGCCGGATTCCAAAAAGGAAAACTCTTTGCCTCACAGGAAATAGAAATTGAGCTTCATGTTTCAATTTTACCCCAAAAGGCTCCATGTAACTTATAAGAAAAAAAAAAACAACCTTCCTTGATCCTGGGGTTAAATGGGTGATATGGACAAAGCTGATAGTGATGATTTTGAACAGTTTCAATCTCTAAACTAGGGAAATATGAGCAGGCAAAGTCATGCTAAACCCCTGAGTGGTCAAAGTTGACCTGAATCAGACTTTTTGTATTATTAGCAGCAACAAAGTGCAATAACTGGACTCAAACAACAGCTATATCGAGTTAAAGCTAGCTGGCAAGCTAGCCTTCTAAAGCTAAAACTAAATAACTGCTTTTTTTCTTGGTTGTTATCTGAAAATAAAAAAACATATCATTTTGATTAACTGACCTCTTGGTAACACATTAATTTATTCTGCATAACTTAAAGCAGTAGCTGTTGTAAATTGAATTGTAATGAAAAAGAAAAACAGCTAAACTGCTCAAGCTAACTAGCTTAGCTGATCTCAGTAGTCACAATTAATTCCTCATTTAAGTCAACTCCGGACTGTAAATACTTATCAAACTAAAAGGTATGTTTTTCTACTACAATATCATTAAAATGGGAAAAGAAATCATTCCAAAAAGGCTTAAATTTAAGGTGTTACAGTGTTCCATCTGTATGCAGTTTACCAGCCTGCCTGGCAACTTGAAACAGTTTTTGTTTTTTTCTCAACTAAAGCGGTTTGCCTCGGTAGGTCAGAATTAATCACAAGCTGTCCATTTGCCCAAAGGAAGAGAAAAAGAAGGTAGTTTTACAGGGGAGCCCCCAGATGTGCCCATGTGTTGCTGAACGCAGTACGAGTGCACAGAAGAACCGCTCCCTGAATAAACAGAGGTTAGACAAAGATGAGCGTGTAATAAAATCCACTTTTCTAATCAACCGGGAAGAAGGGTCGGACCACAATGTAGTCACACTCTTTAACTGTTGGGAATTGGTGAAACTGTGATTCACACCAGCAGCGGCAGACAATGAGCTTAAAGTGCTGACAGATAAAGGGACATCAACTGGACATTAACTGGGAACACGGTGTATTTTTCGGAGCACGACAACCCCCATCCCCGCCCCTCCCATCTTTCAAATGATTGAGTGTGTGTTCACAGCAGGGCAAACTAGCATCATCTTTAAATTGTCAAAAAAAAAGATCCCAAAAGTACTTACTGTCCCGTGAAATTGCTCTTGCCAAGTCTATGTGACGGTCACCATCCACGCTTTAGAATGACTCTCCGTGGACTGGATGATTAAGGGTAATCTTTTAAGCCACAAAAACACTTATGACAAAACAATTAAGCATTTTCACACTATTTTCAATGTTTTATTAGATTTTTGTAATATTTTGGTCCATTATATTCATCAACACTATTATATACCACAGATAATGTCAAGTGACTTTACACGCGACAAACTAAATGGAGGGAAAGCACCAGCACTGTCACTAGTTAATGCTAGTTCTGTGGGACAAAAGTAAACAAGTCTGTTGTCAGCTTTGTGTGTCTGTTGTGTGCCCAAAGATCATCTGTGAGGGAGGAAGCTCCACTCTTTAACACATCTGCAAGGTGTTTCCCCGTTCTCCCAGTTCAACTTCCATTCATATCATAACAAAGGCGCCAGCTGTATTCATTTCCACCTGTTATTTCAATGTGCCACATACATATTCAATGAAAAGAATAAAATCTTTCCAGATGAATTCAGCTGTATCTTTTTCAGGTTGTAATTTGAGTGTGCGCTGGGCAGCTGTGTCTTTTAGGTAAATATAAGTGTCCCATCATTCATCCATCAGCAGATATTCAATGACGACGCCAAAAATGATGGAAAACCTTTTACAAGCCGCGACATTTTGTCCACGGCCCAGTAAATAATGACACCTAGAGTGTGCACATGTATAATAGCCCCCTGTACTGTGATAGCTTCAGCTGTAACTGGGACCACTGAGGGCTTACAAAACAGGACCACAGACATGGCAACATTGGAGGCTGAGAGGGAGAACGTGCTAAATGGAGCAGAGCCGTAGTAGGATGTGTGGTCTGCAGCGGAAAACATTTCAGGTCAATAGTGATTGCCTCAGTTCAAAGAGCGAATCAAATCCGCTGCTGCAGCCACACTCTTGTGTGTTTTACATCAGACAATTTAGGTGCTGTGGATAAAACGCAAAAAAAACAACTAAATCCGAATACCTTAAAAGCTACAGTGAGTCAGCCTGTTTCTATTTTGCCGAACAATCCTAACGGGCCTTTAGTCACTGCCTCCCGCGGTGATTTTTGCGCTTCACAAGTACTCGCCCACTCTGCTTGGTCAGAGGTAAAAAGTTCCCCGTTTGTCGGAGAACTCCCCGGCACGTCAAAGCAATGAGCTGCCTCTAAGAGCAGGTGCTGATGGGAATGTCAGCCCATGAAAAGTGGAGGAGAATGGGATGAGTCAGGCGCCACGGGCCGGGCAGCGGGCCTGCCTACTGCCCACTGAGGTGTGGCCTAATCCTGCGCCTCTTTCCCCTCAGTGACAGAGCCCGAGGACAGGAGAGCCGTGCTCGGATGTGGAGTCGGGAGGGGGGGTAGTTGCCAGGAATAATTAAAGGAACTCTCTTTAGTCTCAGCCTACCAGAAGCTCGACGTTTATGTAACTTGGTTCAGGACTCGGTTGTGTTTAAGCGTTGACCTGGATGTCTCCCACTGTTACCGGGTCACATGAACATCAAAGACTGCAGCTTTTGCTGCTAAATTTCAAGTTTTAAAAAAGCACAGTAAACCAACCACTCGAGAGCCTTCCAACTGCCCTTTCCTCCGTTCAAAGGCTGGCTGTGCTATTGATGATAGATGAATGGGGACACATTCAAAGACTCAGACATGAAACCAAGAATCAATTCTTCATCTAGCCGGTCGTTTGTCTCCGAGGCGTCGCCCCGTAGCGCAGGTTTTCACAGATCAAGCGGCCGATGGTGTCTGGCTCTTGAGCGTCCCGCTGGGAGCACAGTGTGGAGGAGGCAACTTCAAATAGCATGACCCGGACGCAGGTTGCTGCACATGGGCCGTGAACTTTCACTGCGAAGGAACTTCAAGTGGCTCCGTAAGCTAAAGCGCCATGACGCGCAGGGGTTTGAATTGAAGTCTGCCAATAGTGAAACAAGACTAAGAGGCTACAGCCGCGCCGGCAGCTCTGTGAGGCTGCACTTAGGCTCCGAGACGCTTTTGTGCCAACGTCGGCATCGCGACCTGTTTCACAATGACGATGCTAATGTGCCGATTTTCAATACCCAGTGAAATGAAAAATGTATTGTCCCAGTTTTAATCCTTTGTCCCTAAATATATGTCACATATACGGTTTCAATTGTTTGAGGACTCATCCTGCACTCACAAGTCGCAAGTTGACGTCAATGTCAGATCGATATTTCTGGGGTTCCTGAGACGCCAGCAGATATGCGGACCAAGACTTCCTTTTCCGTACTCTGCTCATTGTTTACAGTCCGATTTACGACTTGAGATCTGGGACTGAAGTTGTTTCAAAAGTAGCCAGTTTACAAGCTCATTTCAGACCATTAATAAGCTAAATCATGCTCAGACGATAGCCAGTGGGCTCCAAGATTGCATTTCGGCCAAGGCGCTCTTGCCGT